ATTTCAAACGAATACGCTGAAATTTCGAAGAAAAACTGTTCTGCGCCCAGCAAAAACAATGTTTGCGAAGCAATAATCGGCGATGGAGGGCGGTAGCGAGCAAGGACTTAGCTCCTTGGGATAGAAATATCTTTTTCTGTAAGAGTCATATTATCTAGATAAAAGGGATGTTTAACTTTAAATATGAAAGTTGTAGCGTAGCATAACTAATAATTTTTTAATCTTAAAAATAAATGTTGTACCGAACTTTTTTTTTAAATATTTATATGTCTTCCCAACTTCATTTCATGTTCCTTACTCTGTTTTAACGAGTTTAATCCACTGCATAATTAATTGCTTTACAATTCATAATAATGTTATTTTTACTTAATTATTTTTATAAGAAAAACAGCTTTGTGTTGTAATAAGTGCTCTTCATGAACTTATTTTAAGCAAATTCATTTATATCAAAACCAATTTTCCTGTCATGTTTAAATAGTAGGAAAAAATTATAGCTTAAGAAATAATTTCTGAAACAGAAGTCTGTTTTGTACCTTAATAATAATACGATGTTTGAAGCCGAATTACAAATGCATGCTTGTAATGAATTAGCTTCAAAATAATTCTAAAACTATTCATTTAAATACTTGCATAAGAAGACACTATTTTTACTCCAGCACACTTTAAAGAAAGAAAAGTTTGTAGATAAGTATTTTTTTTCTCATTCCTTTCCTGAACTTCCAGAAAAAATTCAACACAATTTAAACTTCAAAAATTTTTCTCTTTATAAACTAGACCTTATTTTTATTTTTTTATTGTCTTGAAAAAGCAATTTTGGTAGAAAGGCCTAGATAAACATTGATATTGATCTCATGGCACAAAGTTGATATAATGCCACGGCTTCATTGAAAATAATCAAAATAAAGTACGACATGTAAAGTTTGGCAAAATAAAGTACATGAAAAAGGAGCAGTCAGTGAATAAATTGTGTCAAGACGATGAAAGAAGTTTTGGGGGAAATCCTTCCAGCCAAAGAGTGTAAAACCAAAATCAACGAATGAATTTTGCTCACAATTTAAATTCAATATTCTATGTGATACAAAAATGTTTTGAATGTTAATTCTTTTTTTTTCAGACGGAATAATTCAGTTCTGTGGAACTTTGCGTGCTAATAGTATATTTCACGGTCTAGTATTTCGGGGCAATTTTTTTTTTTAAAGAAAACTGTTTTTAGTTAAAAAGTTGTTTATATTGTATTTAAAATTCATAAAAACTGTATTCAATCCAATTTCATCGTTTTATGAGGTCAATCAAATAATTTTTTAAGAAAGAATGGTGTGCATTTTCACATCTTAGTTTTTAGTTTTGGTAAAGAAGATTTGCAATATAAAGAAGACTTTCAAATTCACAAACGTTTTCATGTCGTGTCACTATTCCTCGAGGTAAATTCCAATATGTATTAGAAGATAAAATTTTGGTAAAATTACAGCACTGTATGGTAACTATATTTTTGGTAAAAATAAATATAATTCTGGTAATAAAAACCAAAATATACTGTATTTAAATAGTTTGATAATTTTTATATTCATATGGTAACAGCTGGAAATTTTGGTTTTCAAAATTATAGCTCTTATTACCCCACATTTAGTAAACTTACAAAACTGAAAAGTAAATTTAACCGAATAAATGCTTTTTAAGCTATGTTATGTTAAAACTACAGAGCTTAATTTCAATTTCAAAATTTTTTTCCGTATTATAAAACCATATTTTGCTCTTAATTTTAACATAATCATTACCAAAGCGTTCCGCTAAAAATTACTGATCTTTCTGGTGTTCCCATAGTATTTCATGTTCATTATGTATATCATAGTATCTCAGAGTATATTATGTTTCCCAATATTTTATGGCAAATTTAAATATATGAAATAAATATTCCAGAATATTGTGTTTTGACCATATTTTTTCTCAGTGAACCGATTTCAGGGAATGCAGGGTTTTGATTACGAAGCATAAAAAAAATTATTTGATCCATGGCACAACCAATAACTATCCAAGTCTTCAGAAACTCTCATTACAAGATGTTGTAGTGTGACCTGTATGACATGTTGTCGAACAACGAAAAGTCACACCACATTATGGTATGGAACAACCTGTATAGTATCACATGAATATTTAAATTTCCTCAGTAGGGAATCATGTCCATTGGACACCTTCAACTGACGTCATTGTTCGTAAATCGTGACATTTGCCGATTTAGAAACCAATCAAGTTTGACACGCACTAGTGATTTCGCATTCGGGTATACAATTAAATCTGATTTAAATCACATGGTTAGGCATAATCACTTCACTACTTCTTGAATTGCAAGTACCCAATTATGTATTGATGACAATAACCGTGATTTTATTTAAATTCCAAAAAAAAGTATTTGTTGCAATGAAGTTTATCCAATTGCTTTTAAAACATAATTGCACCAACTAAAATAGAAAGTAAATTGCAATATAATAAAAACATACTCTAAATCGTTTTTAAATAAGAATTTTTATTTGAGGTTAAGACATTGATATTGGCGTGATTAGCTGTTCAAAAAAAAAGAACATTAACCCCTTCTCTTTCCTCCTCTCACCTACTTCTCTTTCCTTTTCTTTTTAGTTGTATAGGAATGTACTACGATATTTTCCCCTTTCTTAATATTTTTCGTATGTAATTGTCAAAAATATTTTTTAAAATATCCTCGACACTTTCTTTTAGAACTATGTTTAATACAATTTTCGGTTCTATATAGTTTCCCAACTTAAAAGTTTCTAGTCCATTTGAAAATCAAGACAGGAATTAACATACATCCTTCTCCTATGACTCTCCACACCCTAATGATGAAAGCATGCGAAGTGTTGCCATAAGTAGAGAGTTCTGTTCTACGCCACCTGTAGCTCATTTTGACCCGTCAATTATGGTTATGTTTTCTTTTTTAAATGGAAGAATAAAAATAAATATTTTTTATGTATCGCTAGGTGTATTTTTGTTATTCCGTGATGCCTTATTATTGTAGTATTAGTAGGTGAGTATTAATTTGAATTACTTCAATATCTTTCTTCTCTTTAGCTATTTCTGCGGAACCAGCGGCGAGATCGTTGTACTGTTGATCGTGATGCCTTGTTCTTAATTCTAAAGCTTAGCGCTGATTTTCTTTATATTCTTTTTGACCATTTAACATGTATTCTTTTTCAATAATTTTCATTCCCCTCACCCCAATCATAAAAATCCGCCTTTTTCTCCCTCGTACTTTTTGTTTGTTTATTCCATTATAAAATAAGTCGTGTTTTTCTTCTTTTTTTGTGATCTGAGCTAAATAATTATTTTGTATTAGAAAAACGATTTCATCTCTACTTTAGGATCATTCTCAAAGAAAGAAACATGATGAGACTGATAGGCTGAAACGTGACGATAGGAGGGTGGATGAGTCTGACGACAGTGAGGACGAATCAGAAGATAGATATCAAATTGACGATGCGGACGAAAAAGACTCCTTTGATTTAGAGCCTGAAGAATCGACTAGGAAAAAGTGGAAGGTCTCTCTCGATCTAAGTTTAAATTAAAACGTAATTTTTAAAAATAAGAGTGTCACAATTTTTTTCTTGTAATGATCATACGCGTCATTTTTGTTAGTTGGACAAGTGGTTGAAGGACTAAATCATAAGTATTAGGAGGAATTTTTAGAAATGAAATATCCAAATTATTTAAAATTATAATTTTTATAAAGATTTCCGAGGACATTTGAAATTCTAGTGTGCGAAAACACTGTTGTATGGGTGATTGTGTAACGTTTAGTGGTAACTCTGTACACATCGACAGAATTCTAGTTCTCCTTCGAATAATAGCTTCCCCAGCAACAAATTTACCTTGGTGTAAAGACTTTTAAACTTTCACACAAAAGACGAGTCGCCTGCATCTTAAATTAATTTATTCAAAGCTATAGATGCACATAGCAGATAACAGACAAATATTAACGTAGACAGAACATTTATCGAAAACCGCCATCCATCTTTTATAATCTCGTCCACAACTCTCTTCAGAAAAAAAAAGAAACTTCAGAGAAAGTTTTGTGTGCCATCTAGTGGCCAGTTTCTTACATTGGCCCCAGTTGGGCTCAAAATTGGCTCAATATGAGTCTTACATGAACATGCACCGAGGTACCAATATTGGGATGTTTAGAATTTTTAATATTTGTACTATAAAGGACCAATATATGCCTATATAGGGCCAACATAGGGCCTATATTGGCTGAACAATGAATGCAAAATATCGGATGAATCTGACAATTCTATATAGGTCTGATACCGGTTGTAAAGTCGGTGTAAAATATCGGGTGAATTAGACAATTCTATATAGGGCTAATACAGGAAAAATAATGACTCTTTGAACTCTTATTGAGCCAAGATTGGTGAATATTGATCCATTGAGAGCCCAAGTTATTTTGCTGCTAGGGTTGTTTAATTCTCTCAACATTAAAAATAGCAAGAGCCGTTGTTTAGAGCGATCAGGTTAATGTTACAATATGTCTAGCAGCGCAAAAACTATGAGACTTAAAAACTTGAAATTGGCGAAGGTGTGTAAAAATATGTACAGTGAATACGGACAAAATATTCGGGTGAAATTTTCATAATATAATTTTAATTTTAACATTTGTATACAAGAGGCTTAAGCATGCTAATTTTCCTTAACTGAAATGGTTTATTAACTGCATTGTTTGTCCTTCGAATCAGCTTATTGCTTTCATTGTTGATGCTTACATGAATTGATTCGATCAGTTAGATTGGAGCTGTTTCTATATCTAATGTAGTTTTATATTTTAACCGAATACAATGAAAAATATCTATTTTTTAATCAAACTTCAAAACACGCTTATAAATGTATTTTTTATTAAAAAAATTCTGAGCATGTGAGTCTCAGTTTCGTTTTTTGTTTTTATTTTAGGGAAGAATTTTAAAAATGCCAGAAAATGGAAAAACTAGATATGGATTAAAGTTTGACGTTATGCATGATGTGCGAAAAGACAGACGGGCAAAACAGACTCCACATTATCAATCAAGTACAGAGAATGAAAATTCAAACGTAGAAGATTTGAATGATTCAAATCTAAAGACAAAAGAGCAGATTATTGTGGTAGGTGGAGTAACTGAAAATGATGAAGATGATAAACACTTTGGTACGTATTTTTGATACTGTAATTTATTTTAATATTAATCACCTTTTTTCAATTTTTCTTACAAGGTGTCCTAAATCAGATTGTTGATGGTATTTAAATATTTTAGTCTTTAGAAAGGTTTAAAAAAATTGCTTAAACGCCGTGCGACATTTCGTAAGTTTTTCCTTTAGGTGAAATCGAAAAATGGAAGCTGAATTTTGCATTCTTGATTATTTTTAAGGGCAAAAATAGTGACTGAATTTTATTGAATTTAACTTTATGATAATGTTAAACATATTTATCTCCTTTGATTTATTTTTATAAGATTTATTTTGTTTCTATTTAACATTAAGAGCTCCTTTTTTCAGAAATGGACTTGAAAAACTCACTCGGAAGAAAGAACACTGTGAATGAATTCTGATTAGTAGTTTAAGTATTTAAATAATGTGATTTTACTTGTGCCTATGCGTTGGAGGCTTAATTAGCATTCAACTTAATTAGCATCATACCAATACTATACACTAGTAAATTTGATTTAAATTAAGAACTTAGTCTCATAGTCAGATATTGCATCTGATTGTTCGAAGTTTCTGAGGAGACAGAACCTTGTTTTTCTATAATTCTAATTCACGCGAACAACTTTACATAGAATAATAACTATATGATATACTATATAGTTATCATTCTATGTAAGGATAATTTAATATACGCATAACTTTACATAGAAAAATTTAAAATTCACCATCTAAAATTCAAGAATTTAAATTCTTAATTAATAACAAGGAATAAAAGAAAATAATTCATTTTAATGATTTATCTCAGATAATTATTTATTCTTGTTCAGATAATTCATAGTTGCTAAGATACTTATATCTCACCTCCATATATTTATCAAAAAAGAAAAAAATACAGACACTAGTCTTCACCGAAATGTTCGCAACAGCTGTGGTTGCCAATTCCGGAGCACTTTGGCTATAGAATACCAACTGCAGTGGATCCATGAGTGGAATTGCACCAAGCTTTATTGTTCTTGAAATGAAGGCTGGACATTCAAATATATGTTTTGGTGTGAGCGGTTGAATTTCTGACCAGTTTTCCCACTGCATGTAAGATCTTGTTTCAACAGGCTGGATATTTATGCCCTTATAGTGAAGAGTTCTTAATCTTGCGATTTTGGGTATAAGGACTTTCGGAAAGTCGAAATTTGTGATGAGTGGTTCTTTATGGGAATGAGGTTAAAAGTCTGGATCTGGCCACTGTATTTGTAACAGCAAGTGTGATGGTGGTACAATGGTCATGGTCTCAGGTTTTCTCTTCCAGGGAGTCAGCACCCTCATTTCTTTCAATATTTACATGTATCCATTATAGCACACAGGATTTTCCTTTGCCTTGAAGCTGCTTAAATAGAAAATTTATGGAGAATGTGATGTTATGATGGCCTCTAAGACGGATTTAGAATCAGAAAGGATTATCAATCCATCTATAGTATCCATATCCTTCAAGTCAGTCAAATCTATGTGAGGTTTAGGTGGTGAAGGCTTCTTTAATCACTAAGAGCTCTCTGGTAAGGAGCTTATTTTTGTGTTCGTGCTTCGGTAGGAGAAGAATATCAACACCAAGAAAATTATTAAATTTGAATGAATGATTTAATATAATCATTAGTCAAGCAATAAAGAATAAAAAAATGAATTTTTATAGTATATCCTTCAAAAAGTTTTTCTATTGAGTAAAGTTACTCTATTTGCTAATTTTTAATAATTTATTCGTTACTTCATACTAATTTGCATAAAATACTTTTCATTACCTTTTTATACATGTTTTTAAAGTAATTATTTTTATTTTCACTATAGGAAAATCAGTATACTTGTTTGATCCTTCTGCAAATAATTGGACGACATTATCCCACACCAAAAAGCCTATTTATAACCACTGCTTAGTTTATTTGGACGGAGGTGTTTTTGTAATTGGTAAATATGTTAAATGGAAATTGACGACATAATTCAGGTCTTTGCTGCATAATCTTGTAAGAGTCTTGTTAAAGGATCCAAATAATTAGGAAGTTTCATTTTTCTAACAAAAGCCACTGCCAACTTGTGCATGCATGCTTAATTGAATTGTCTAGACTTACCCTAAATAGCAAAAATATAAATTATATTATAATTTTACTTCAAAAATGCTGTTAGACACCCACCATTGCACGCTCCTCTCAATTAATCCTCGTGAATGCTTCTCATTCATCGTTTTTTTCATCTTAAAAATTGATGTTCTTATAAAAAAAATCTTCGAGATAATTATATTAATAAAAAATATGATGATTGTGATTATATTAAAAAACAATTTCTTAATATATTAATAGTAACTAAACGAATGATAACCTGGATTTTAAAAATAATGGAGAATTCTCGCAAAAAAATTTAAATGTGTGACACGATAAGAATTAATAAATGCGAAATAATTTAACTCGATAACTATTTTAAATATAATCATAACAGTTCAAACTGGAAACTGCTTTTATTTCTTTTGAATAACTTTATGGTGATTAATATGAAACGTTTCCTGCGATTATCCCACAAGAGGTTGCAACCCGCTAAAAGACAAAGAAAACATAATAGCTCAAGGAAAATGTTACAAGTTCAATATAGCTAACATATGATGGACTAAAATATATAGCATGCATGAAGCTCGCATGTACCGCAGCGCAGCTTTGACATCAATGTAATGTTAAAACTAAATAATAATTTTACAAATTTTAATATGTTAAAATTTGCGTTTGGTAAAATCTCATCTATCACTCTCATTTTTTGTTGCTTTCGGCAGAGCTTATTAAATGAAAATCTCGAGTTAGATAAATACATTTTTTTACAAAGATGAAAAAATAGTTATTATTTAAAACATAAAAGATGTATAAATGATAAAAAAATTTGGAAGAAAACGCTCCTAAAATTACGAAAATTCAAACAAATTGTAACTTCGATAAGGAAAACATCTGTTAAGTTCATCAATAAAAATGGCTCTTTCAACGTATCAAATTTTGCTCTTTTTTACGAGGTTTAACAGTTAACAATTCTTGAACGAACAATAATTTTTTAAATTTCTTATTTCCTCGTAATTCTTGTACATTTATTTACATCCCTTCGTAATTTCGAGTTTCTAACGAGTTTCGAGATACTTTAGCGAAAAACGAATTCGAGAACTTTTTTGGTAGAGATGCATAAAATACTGGAAAAATATATTTAAAAAAATGATTAATATATATAAATTGGACTTCGGTTGAAAATAAATATGAGTCGCATCTTTAAGGTTTGGTTACTGAAAAGTATCGATTATGCTAAGGATGAAATCGGTTCATCTTTTGTATTGCCATCATTGAAGACGTGTAACACCTTTGCTTTCATAGGTCTCAAAAGAAAAAAAGAAGTCTACGTTAGCTCATTCAGGACAAAGACGATATCATAAATGTATAGTTGCAAAGTTAGGGTATTTCATTTTTTTTATATGGGCCTTAAATCACCGAACTGTTAAACCTTGTACTATGTTCACTAGGCGAATACGAAACGTTTTGTGTGATTATTTCGCAAGATGTTGTAACCTTCTGAGGTTGAAAACTTCTGTTAAGTTCATCAATGAAAATAGCCCTTTCAACATAACAAATTACCCGCTTTTTTATGAGGTTTAGCAATTAACAATTCTTGAACTAACACTAATTTTTTAAATTTTTTAACTCATCGTAATTCTCGTACATTTAATCACATCCCTTCGTAATTTCGAGTTTCTAACGAGTTTCGAGATATTTTAGCAAAAAACGAATTCTGGTTGAACATTTTTTGGTTGAGATACACAAAATACTAGAAAAGAAAAAGCCTACATTAACTCATTCAGGACAAAGACAATATCATAAATGTATAGTGGCAAAGTTAGGGTGTTTAACTTTTTTAATATGGGTCCTTATATCACCGAACTGTTAAACCTTGGATTATGCTCATTAGGCGAATACGAAACGTTTTGTGTGATTATTTCGCAGGAGGTTGCAACCCGCTAAAAGACAAAGGAAGCATGGTAGCCCAAAGAAAATGTTACAGGCTTGATTTATCTAACAAGCAATGGACTAAGATACCTAATATGCATGAAGCTCGCATGTACCACAGCGCAGCATCACTTGGTGGTAAAATCTACGCAGTTGGTGGAAAAAATGAAAATCACGAGTAAGTCTACAACTTTATTTTTTAGGATATTTATTCATTGTTTAATTTTTAAAAACAATTCGATAAACTTCAAAATATTGTTCGGAAAGAGAACTCTATTACCATAAATTAGGGATGCTTTTACCCATATTTTTTTTACACTCTTTATGAAATTTTAACAAATAAAAGAAAAATTTTCATGGTATATTTTTCAAATAAATTTTTGACTTGAAAGAGCTTTTTTAGTAAATTAATAATGGATTTGTTTAATGAATTAATGTCCGTAAAAATAGAAGGACATTTTAAAATATTGAGTCAAAGCAACCACTGTTTAAGGTTACTCTGAATCGCAATAATTTAAGATATATCATGCTACAAGAATAAATAAAAAAATTAAAACGCTTACAATTCCATAAGTTACAACAGCGCCAAGCAACTATTGTAATAACTGGAAGAATACTTGAAGAAAATATACAACAAAATAAATTATTACCTGACATGAAAACGATAAAGATATTAAAACAAGAAAAAAAAATCCAAAAAGCAGAAACTAAATGAAATATACTATAAGAGATATATACAATTCTAAGTCAAAGGTTTTTGCTTTTCGGATTTTTTCTCACTTTAATATTCTTATTGGTTTCAGGTAATAATTTATTTTGATTTACATCTTCATATATATATATATATTCATTTTTCTAACAAAGGTTTTCGCAAACTTGTGC